TTTTTTTGGTTTCAAATTTTTTTGGGAGTGTTTTCTAGCTATAGATTAATTTTTTTTTTTTTTTTTTTTTTTTAAGTATAAAGTAAAAGTGTAGTGTATTTGTGTATTTGATTTCCTCTAAATAAAGTTATATTGTTAAAATGTTAAAACATTGGATAGTTATAGTATTTCTAGGTGACTAATTGGCCATTTTATCACATAGATTATGCCATAGATGGTCATATTTATTTATTTATTTATTTTTGGTTCCTTTGATACACAAGATGCTCTTTTCAATATCTTAAATCAAGCTGGAGAACATCATCATCACCCGTTTTAAATAATATCAGCTTCATATGTCTTCATATACTAAGCTGCTTTTTCTATTTTCATTCAAATTTTTTTTTTGACTAACAATTAATTAATGATACATAATGAAAAATGTTGCACTGAATTACAAAATATAAGCATTTTTATTAGCTGTCTCGGACTACTTTTGGATGGACATTAAACACACTTATGCCAAATAAATCAATTCCATCTAATGCCCAATTAATAGCAGAATGGAACACAATGCATGTAAACAGAATATGGAATTTGTTTTATTTATTAAATACAATTTCACTTGCCTTGAATAGCTGATATTTGAAAATACAGGAGCAGGAACCACATGATCGCAGAAAGGAGGACGGAGGACGGAGGAGAGGGACAGGGCAAATGTTGTACCTGCTTTTAAGGGCTCTGTGATGTTACATCTTTCTTTTTTTTTTTTTTCAACATCCTGTTCACTTTCTTCACCTGAGACCATTCATCCGCGTTTCACTTGATGTAAATGAGCTTTTAGTTTAATTTAAGCAATTATCTATCGATAATCTTGTCACGTCCAGATTTAAGGTGAGACACTACAGGCAAAGATACAGTTTTTTCATACACCTGTCAGTTTTTGGGCTTTTTGGCTTTCCATTTTATTTTTTTTCAGACTAGTAGAAAGAAAACATCAAAGATACTCTTTTAAGTGTTTCTTTCATAGCACTTTATCTATTTGCATCTGTAGAATTCAATTATAATACATGCATACAACAAACATTACCGTTTTATTCCTATCTGTATCCTGGAGATATTTGCAGAGGGTTTGTTCATATGTAATTTGCCTGATTTTATACATTTTATTCCTAAAATAAATAAATAAACAGAAAATGTATTTTACTTATTTATTATTATTAGGCTATTATTATTATTTTCCTGGTTGTTGACCGTATTTTCTGATTTATGGAGTGATAAAAAGAGATATCCAAAATACCCTTTGTAGAGACTTTTGACTAAGTCAGCAAAATGAAACATGAATTTTGAACCTGGCTTCATCCAATGTTCAGATTTTTGTTCTAGAAATGTATACAATTATTACATATTTAATTAGATAAAGCCTCATTTGCATATTTAAACAACATTTCAGAAAACTTGTAACACAAAAACTGTTTGCAATTCTTAATGTAATCAATCAACTGGGGAAGTATATTTTTTAGTTACTTTTTGTCCTATTCACCTGAGGTGTCTCGCCTTAAAAAATGCATAATTGGCACTGGTTCTCATGTGTACAAGTTTACATACGTTTACATACGCGTGGATAATTAATGACAAATTGCAATTACTGTATCTGCGGCTAGAGGTCAGTGTTGCGCAAACATTTCAAGTCCATCACAGGCCATACGACTCGTTCATAGCAAACGTATGAAAGATGAAGAAAACCAGTGAATATTTTGTACTGTTTTAGTGTATACTTATATTCTTGTAAGCAGTCTTGAGAGAAAAGGAGAAACAAAAACGTGAGAGAGGAGAGATATACAGAGTGACTGAGACGTGGCTTCTCTCTGTAGATGCTGATCTGTGGGGTGTTCATTAGAGCTTAAGATGAAACGATAATGACTTATCTTAAACGTTTCTCAAAATTTCACAAAATGTAGCGGGAAAAGGAAAAGATAATCTTATGGCATAAAACTTAAAGAGATAGTTCACCCCAAAATGAAAATTCTTACATGTTTAAAGGGGTCATATGATGCGATTTCAAGTTTTCCTTTCTCAAAAAATATACACTTTATGATATACCATAAAAAAATAAATAAAAAAAACAGGTAGCCCATCTGAATAAGGACATTTAGGCTATCCATCTAACAGTAGGTTGCTGAAACCACGCCCACCTAGCTCGACGGCGGTGACGGCAGCGGCAATCCACCTGTCACTCAAGTGGCCACGCCCTTAATTATGCAGAACTTTAAGGCTTAATATAATTTAAACGGATGAGTTATTAAAAAAATTCACCCCCCTCACAGTGGTCATGAAGGGCAAAATTAGCTATATAGACCAAAATAATTTTTTTGAACCAGCCTGTAAACGTTTTTTTTTCTGCTGTAAAGCTGGACATTTTAACATGGGGAGTCTATGGGATTGACTCCCTTTTGCAGCCAGCCTCTAGCGGCCAGTCGATGAATTACAGTTTAAGTCACTTCCTTGTTGGCTTCACCAGAGAGAGCGGGAGGTTGCCGCTTGATTACACTACATATTTCATGGCACACTCGTTTTATGCGTATTTGGCGCCACCTATTGTTGTGGGTGTATTATTGACATGTCTAGAGCCTGAATATAAGACGACCGCGCTTTTTCAGATGTATTTCCCAGATAAAAACATTATATTCGGGTCAATACGGTAATTGCCTAATATAGTATTATAATTAACTCTTCCTTCGTGCTGCAAAGATATTGCATAGCACCAAGATTAAGCTTAAACCTCCTCCTCAGCCGTCTGTCACGGTGACAGTCTCCGCTCGTCAATGTCATACAATATTTGAGATGACCAATCAAATCAAAGTAGGCGGGCTTTATGTTCACAGAAGCGGCATAGCGCGAATTTCAACGCGACGCTTCAATTAGCGGCTATAAAGTGCAGGATAAGATGTAAGTAGCCAAACATTTCATATCTGACAGCTGTTTTACGATAGAAATGTTAAACGATTGACAAAAATAATCAGGAATGCAAACTAATAAACTTGTCTAATTTCGCCATTTTGAATTGGCTTGATTCATGTAAAGTGATTCGTAACTGTCAATGTGAGGGGACAAGAAAAGAAGCCGTTTCTATCATAGGCTATATTAGGCATATGTTTAATAATGAATGGGTACATATTGTGATTTTATTAAACTTACTTAAGTAGCTTTCCAGGTAGCCTTCAGTAAAGTAACTTGTTTAATAAAAGGCTGTCAAAATGGCTAAAAAACTAAGTAAGAGTTGTTATACTTAAATATTATTAAGAATATTCGAGTATTGCAGCTCAGTGGGAAAAAAGTGTTTTTTTGTGGGTTGGGGGGGGTTGCGGATTCGGTGGGGGGAAAGAAGGGTGGTATGGGGGTGGGATTTACATCAATTTAAAACCCTGGCTACGGCCCTGATAGTATTTTAAAGGGGTCATATGATGCGATTTAAATTTTTCCTTTCTGGAGTGTTACAAGCTCTTGGTGCATAAAGAAGATCTGTAAAGTTGCAAAGACTAAAGTCTCAAATCCAAAGAGATATTCTTTATAAAAGTTAAGAGTCAGCCACACCTACCTAAAACGGCTCGTTCTAACACGCCCCAACATACCTACGTCACTATGTGGGAAGATTTGCATAACGCCGCCCAAATGTTCACGCAAAGAAGGTGTAACTTTTATTCTCGCTGTAGTATTGTTGCCGCCGCCGCCATGTGGTGAGGGCGCTGTGTGCTTCGTTGTGAAAGTGAATCTACTTTGTTTGACCTTCCAAAAGAGGACGATATCGCTTTGTCATGCCTGGAGCTGATCCGTGCTGGCATCACAGTATGTTAAGGGGTGTAACATTTCCGCCAATCACAACACACTGGATGGCTGGCCAATCAGAGCACACTTCGCTTTTTCAGACCGATAAGCTTTGTAAAAATCGACGCGCTTCAGAAAGGCAGGGCATAGAGGAGAAACAATAATGTACAGTATGTGGAAAATAATGTTTTTTGAACCTTAAACCGCATAAACACATTTCATTACACCAAATACACCAAATAATGTTCTTTTTAGCAGCATCATATGACCCCTTTAAAATGTGTATGGTGAAACAGTAGTAAAATACCTACTAAATGTTTTACTACTTTCATCTTACCTCGTTAAAACTGAATAGTGTTGCCAGATTGGAAATGTCCAAGCAGGGCCGGATTTATGCATAGGCATTCTAGGCACGTGCCTATGCTCGCTCGTCCAGGGGGGGCCCAAACACAATGAAGAGATGTAATATTTTTGTTATAGGCTTCTATGGGATATCTACAACAGTAAAAGAACCAAAACCTCAGAAGACATTGAGCAAATAAATATAGCAAGCAATAGGATAAAAATGACAAACTATTTCCATGTCTTCAACCTTTTTTATGTACGAAATCACGCTTTCTTTCTCCCATTCTCTCTCACAGACACACACACAGTACAGACACGCACTTGCGCACACACACAGAGAGCGAAAAGAAACTTGTTGTCAGAGCTGTGGCTGCCTCGCAAATTTATCAATAATAGTTTTGCATTTCTCAGTAACGAGGTTCTTGAAGCAGTTCAACTTAAAGGTTCGCTATTAGTAGATGCTGCTGCATGCTGAACACTGCTGGGAGATGCACAGACGCAAGTATTCACACGCACTTAATCTCTCTCTCTCAATTTGCAACGGAAGGTTTGGGATGAGGTGCGTAAAAAATTAGCTAGTTCAACACACACAAGATTTCCGGACGAAAACATGTCAAATGTCTTGAAACAAATCATCTGAACAATGTCTTGATGTGTGATTGTGACTCAGTCCAGGCCGTTAAAATTATTAGAGAAATAATGCACTACCGAAGTGGTAATGTGGCAACGTCGCCGCGCCTATTAATGGAACGGTCTTTCTCAGTTCTCAAACAAATTAAGAACTACATTCGATTTTTATTGATTGAACGCAAGTGCTTATTGCGATAGAAAACACTGTAACGTTTTCGACTGATTAAGAAATATATTTGCTTGCTTGGGTGGTAATATTAGGCCTATTATATTAATAGGGAATGGGGGGGCCCCAAATTTCTTTTGCCTATGTCACGAAAAGAGGTAGATCCGACCCTGTGTCCAAGTATGGGACCAGAAGCTCAAAATTATCGTATTTGGAAGAAAATTATCATACACAAGTCAAACGTACACAATACAGCTATTTATCTATTCTAGACCAACAACTTTTTGATAGACCTTCAAATAACTAGGCTATAGGGACCTATGAAATTCGTTTGATTTTTTTCCCAAATTTCGTTTAAATTTTTCTGGATTTAAATTCTGTGTTTGTTTTTTTTTCATTTGAATTTTTCTGAACTCCTTTTTAAATGGTTAAATTAAATTGTATTAATCAAAAGCATGTCTAATTAATTTAAATCATGAAACGTATACAATTCAACATCAATCTATTAAAAAGTTTAACAAATATTACGTTTAGGGTCTTATGAAATGTTCTATTTTTTTCTCACCTTATGTTTTATTGTTACCAAATTCTGTGTTTTAGCATGTCTAATTATTTGAATGCATAAAAACTACTTTTATTTATAGCCTTATGAAATGTTTTTTTTCTTTAGAAATTCTGCGTTGTGCATTCAAATTTTTCCAGTTAT